TCTTCAGAAAATCTAGTAGTTATGAGTTTTTGTTTTAATGGCTTACTATAACCTGAAGTTTCCTCAAAATCAGTAAACTATAACGCCTAGCTGCCATTGGAACACTAAGTGCAGACAAGTTGTTAAAAATATCTTTAGAAAATTTTGTATTTATAGTGTCTCACAATAATCTGAAGTACTATCAAAATCGGTGCACTGTAACATATGTTATCGAAACGATTTGTGTAAAAATGTTTGAATTGAAGAAATGTGGTGATGAGAGGGGAGAAAGGAAGCGATACAGGGGTCGGACTTCTGCTCTTCAAATAAAATTTTATTCAGTTCATAATTGTAATTAAATATTTACCATTTCAGGAAGTAATATTAAATTATCAGGCCCGTTTTCAAATTCGATTAAATTTGCTTCACAAAATGAAAGTTTAGAAGCAATATATTTGTAAAAAATACTTAACTTGTGATTTGTATTTATTGATATTTCATATTTAACAATTTTGTACCACTGTGCGACGCGACGCAGATAAAATGTACAGCAATAGCAACAACAACAGAGACGTGAATTGGCGCGCAGTAGTCGCTGTGGCCGCTGCTACCGCCATCAGTGCTGCCAGTTCTAGATAGTCCAAAAAAGCTAAATCAGCCATTGAAAAAGGTAGAGAAATTTCTAAATGAAATGAAATGATTTTTGAAACTATCGTGTTTTTTTGTTGATGTGAGAGCAGCATTTCTGGATAGACTTGAAATTGTTTGATAAAAATTCCAATTTTAGAAATTCTTGTGTTAAGTATTAGATTTTCTTGAGAACATCAAATCGAATGCCATAAACCAAGATTAAATAATTTTAAAAATAACTATAAAGCTATAAATGCTGTCGTTAGGTAGTATGGAATTGGTGTATTCAAGGGACATTGATTTTATTACTGACACATCACTTACCAGTAAGCTATTAATTTTGTTATTAAAACACGCAACATAACTGGTTCATACATTGTTAATATAAAGACATTGCTTGTATCGCATTCATTTATTTATTTATGCCAGTCGGTTTCCACAGCTGACGGGAAAAAGGCTAAATCGGCAACACTCGCCGCTAGCTGCTTCTACACTCATCGTGGAAATATTTCAAAAATGTCTTGAATCGTTGCACATAGCCAGAATTCCAAGCAAAAACATGTGTGTGTGTGTGTGAGTAGCCTATGTGGTACCAAAATGCGGAGCGCTTCAAGTAGAAGAGATACAGAGAGAGAGCGCGAGAGCCTAGCGAACGGTAGCAGCTCGCACCCACACACACACACAGGCAGACAGTGTAGAAGAGCGTAGAAGAGAGCCGGTGCGTTCATATAAGACATACAACAAGCGTACACATTTATGTACATATACACATAAAGTAAACTGTTGAGAATATGGGGAAAAAAATAAACGAAAAACTTGTTCCTATCTAACAATAAGCGACAAGATCAGGCGCCTTGCCTGCTTGCTTGCTTGCTTTGCCTTTACCCGCCCATTTTCTACATCATCAGTTGGCCAACTGGCTAGGCAGCCTTTGCTTTGCTTTGCTTGGCTAGTGGGGCAACTCCTTCACTCTCCGCCACCTGTGTTGTGAACTGGCTTAAGCCACAATAACAACAACGACAGCTACTACCTACAGCTGGCGTTGGGCGACAACCAGCGAGGCACAGTGTGCCAACAACAAGAAAAAGCGCTGCTGCAACAAAAAGACACGACACATGTGTTCATACGAACAGACAGAGAGACAGACAGACAGACAGACATACATATAATAGTTGTTAAACTTGCTTGCTGCTAATACATACATACATACAAACATATAGACACACAAGCACACACATATATTTAGGTACAGCTTTTACGCTTATGTATTGTCAAGCTCTCCACATCTACCTTTCATTCTATTGTATTTCTGATATTGTTGTTGTTGTTGTTGTTGTTTTGTTAACTAACCACTTGCCACTTCATAATAATTTGTGTGTTGGTACCATTTCCAAGCCAATGTACCAATTTGGTTAATTATTTTAAGTACGCGCGTGTACCTGTGTGTGTGTGTCTGTGAGCGTATTAGCGAACAATCGTAAGTACTACACACCTGGTAATTATTAATAACACACCCATTTATCATCAGTTTTCAATTTCAGTTTCAGCTGAATTGGCAAATGTAACTAAATCCCAGATTCTTTAGAATCAGCCCCCTAGAAATTATTACAATGCATTGGCATTAAATTGATTCATTTTCATTTCCCTAACTAAGTCTTGAAAGAATTGAAACTGGAACTTATTGGGTATTTAAACAAATTACAATAATTATAGAAAATTAAAGTTAACCTAAAACTCAAGTGAATTGAAATTAAATTAATATTAAATGAAATATAGATTTAACTAAAAATTAAAGTTTAATTGAAATAATATTCCAAAATAACATTAATTAAATTTAATAAATTTAAAAAAAAAAAATAAAATAGGAAAATGTAATACATGTATTACATAAAATATTAAGTATAAAATAAAATAACATTGAAATAAATACATAACAAATGCAAAATATAAATAAATTAAAATTGAAAAAAGTCAATTTTTAAAGATTAAAAAGAAAATGCTACAAAAATCGATATCCGTCCCATTTGAAAAGGATTAAATATTAATTTATAGAAATGGCCTGGTATTTAGGTTTAGCATTTAACATTTAACCTCCGTCTATTCCGATTATATAAGATTAATTTGTTTACTTTGTTTTTCCATATAAATAGGTACAAGTATCGAATCGCTGCTATAAAACGGATATATTATGAATACACATACATACATATACGGGGGCTTAAGTCTCATGGGGCATATCATCAAATTAATTCACTGAGTTAATTACCTACCTGTCTTCGAACAGTATAATTTAATAATTGAATACACATTTTAAATCCAAAAACTCGGAGAGTGGGGAACGTTATTTTTTTTGAAATTTGTTGCAAATTGTACCGTTGGGTACGGAAGCAGGCAGCGATTGCGGAGTACTTTTGTACCAATTTTTGCGGTTGGCTTCTTGATTTGCCGTCCTTTTCACTGTACACATAATTTTCTTATACCAAACAGTGTGTGTGTGTATTAATATAGACTGGAGTTGTTGTTGCTGCGCCTGTTCTTTTATGCCAACAACAAGTGAGCGCGATTGCGAGAGAGCAAAGTAAAGTGAATGAGAGAGCACTGTGTATTAGTCACAAGTAGTATAAGAAGAATGAAGAGAGCGCAACTTGTAGTCGCGCGTGTGCCATACGCTTTACTATGTGTATGTGTATGCTTGTTGTGTGTGTATGTTTGTGTACGAGTTGGGGCTTGATCGGATTCGTACTTGGTTGTCATCGTTCTTTGTATTGGGATTCAGTCGATGAGTTTCTCTCGCTTCTGCGCGTTGCGTGTTTCGCATAGTTTCCGCGATTTTTTCGTTGTCGTCATCGTTTGTCAGTGTGTGTGTGTTTGGCTCGTGCGTGTATTTTATTTTAATAATAATATACCAACGTATATACATACATATATCTATATTATTATTATTTTATTTTTTTCTACGCAAATTTTGACAGCGCGTTAATTTTTTTTAACCATATTTTTTTTTAATTTTGTGTATCCAACAAGCGAAAAATAAATCATGTTCTATTTTGCCGCCTTTATTATACCGTGTGTGTGCCAGTGCATGCGTGTGAATGTGTGCGCTTATGTATTTAATTGAATGAACAAATTTTATTTTTGCAATGCGCGCGTTCTTCAGCTTGTTGTTGTATTGTATTTTATGTGTGTGTGTGTGTATTGGTTGCCTGCCTAAAAATTAGTGCACAACAATGAATGAGCAAGATAAAAATCTTTATGGCCTATGGGTTGATAAAAAAAATATACATGCTTAGCATGTACATATGTACATTTGTTTGTACGACCCAAGAAGTTACCAAGCAAGTCAAAAACACCTACGCGGCAGTCGCAGCCACAGTAGCAAAAACTACAACAACAACTGTAACCACAACAACAATAAGTGCAAACAGCAAAGTTGAGGTTTCATTCAATTGTGTGTTGTTGCTTTGCTTGTTCATGCAAAACTACAAGCCCATGCAAACATACACAAAAACACTTATACGCATACATACATACATACATATGTACGTATGTATAAGTATGTATGTTTTGGTTTGCAGCGTGTGCAAAAAAAGAAAGAATTGAAATAAGCAGGAACAGCCAACAGGCAGTGTGTAGATAAGTTTCTCGCTGTGTTTCTTCTACATATTGTACATACATACATTTGGCTGTGGGCCACACTCACAAAAACACGTACATACATATTTCGCACACTTACGCGTGCACAACTGCAAAAGACAAACTCTGCCTGTGCGCGCGTGTGTGTGTTTGTGTGTGTGTGTGTGTGTCTGTGCTTGAACCTGACGCAACCAAAACAGTTGAGTTGGGGAGGAAAGAGGCATGTTTCATGCTAAAAACTTCTTCAATTAAATTAGATTCACAGTAATAAATAAAACAGCGCATATACACAAATACATACACACATACTATTCATATGTATGTACATATGTATATTCAAATAAAATGGGATTAAAAAAACTTGAATTTTTGTTCTTAGCTTTTTAATTTTGTTTTGTTTTTGCTTAAACATTGCCCTGCTGCTTGCCTGGTGGCTCTTGCTCTTTCTTCGTACTCTTATACACGCTAATTTCCCCATTTGCTGCACCTTTTTTCAGCCGAAAGGCGAACACTCACACACACACACAAATATCTATATGTGCATGTATGTATGTATATATCGGTTGAAGCCAGCTGCTGTGCATGCACACTCATACATACATACACCATTTGTGTGCATACATATGTATGTTTGAAGGAGTTTCCAGCTCCAACGCATGGCAAGCTAACAAGTTTTTGTAACTTCAAACATAAATCTTTGCAATTTGCTCCAAACAGCTTAAAAATGTATTACAACAATAACAACAACAAGAACTGGAGTGGCGTGCAATATTAAAAGTTGCAAGTAAATAATAAAAAAAGAAGAAAAACAAAACGATACGAAACGAAACGAAACAAGTCAGCCAAAGTGCCGGCAAAGTGCGTTGGGATTTCATTTAAAACGACAATAATAATAACAATAGCAGTAACAACAACAACACCAACAACGACGCTTTCATGTTTGTTATCACAGTGCGCAACCAGTTGATGATAACACACATCACGTAACGACATCAAGAGAGCAGCAACAACAGTTTATTAATAACAGTTACCAATAGTGTGGCGTGCGTGAGTGTTTGTGTGTTGCCTCCGCCTCCTACTCCTCCTCCTCCCCTCCAACGATACATAAACTGGCTGCATGAAAAACATCACAAGCGCCAGCACTTGCGGCACAGGGCTGCTGCAATTGCAGAACAATCTCAGCAGCAGCGAATTGGACGTTGTTGGCAAACCAGAAACAGGTGCGTTCTTTTCTTTTTCTTTTTTCTTTTTTTTATTTATTTGTTACAATCCCTCTCTCCTTCACTCCCCTTCGACTGAAACTGCATCTGCTTTTTGGTGCTTTTTTTAATGCGCACTTCTTGTCGTCGACTCGTTTATTATGCCAAGATCACAATCGATGGCTTATTGCACGAGGTGGATGGGGATGGTGCTTCGAAGAGAATGGGGATGGGGGACACAAGTTACAACTAAGACCACCCTCGGTTTATTTCCGCCATCATCACACTCATGTGAGAAAACGTGAATTGTAAAATGGAATATAAAATGAGGTCAAATAATCGTAGATTAGTGGCCAGAATCTCAATGCAGTAAAGAAACATTTTAGGGAACCAAGTTCTTGAAGCTCTAGTCCAAACATTACTCCCTGAAATCCAAAGAACTTTAAGAGCACAAATTTGTTGATCAAGTTCTACTAATTTTTCGGTGAATTGTGGCCACATGACTCTATATATTACTTCCCGGATTCTCAATGCAGCAAGGAACCACTTCCAGGTAACACTAGGGAACAAACTTGTTCAATGGCTTCGAAAACTTAAAGCCTTCTTATGAAGTGGTGGCCGCAACACGCAATTGTTTCTACTTTTGCGGCAGTACTGTTTTTAAAGGTATCTATGTATACATATGTATATAGTATGGTATGTATATGAAAAGTTGGAATTTAATAGAGGATTTTCTGCGGAAAAAGTCAATGAAATAGATTCTCGAAAAGCTCAAACTTTTAAAACAAGTTTCCTTTCGCAGTGTAGGGGGAGAATTAAAGCTCCACTTGGAATTTATTTTATTTATTGGTGGAATTTAATAGAGCATTTTCTGCGGAAAAAAGTCAATTGGCAATCAAAGTACAATTCAAATTCAAATTCTAAGGAAGTTAAAATTTGTACTCAAGCTTTCTTTTATGGCTCCATCTAGATATAAAAAAAAACGGTTTTGATAAATTGTACATCGCAGGTGTAGAAGACAAATAATAAACAAATCGGAGGGAGATGATAACAAAGTTGAATTAAATTTACACACATGAAGGAAAATAATTGAAAGACTGTCATTGTGAAGTTACTCTGCATTAAAAGCATGGAGGAGGTTAAGCATCCTAGGTTCCAGTTCTGATCAAGTCTTCGCTCCAATATAAAATATTGAGAAGGCAGTGACGAATTAAAAGGCTTTTTGTTTCCTTGCTCTGCAGATAATATATAGATTTTGTGGGTAATCTAAAGAGAGAGCTTACTACAGCCCCGGGTCTGCATGCAATCAGGATCTTGATTCCTTTTCTGGAATGTCCCTCAGTGACTTCCCCGATTCGCCTTGTATCTCCTTAATTTCTTCCCAAAACGGTTATAGCCAGAACTCACAAGAGGCTCACACGAGTGCAGTGAACCGAACGGGATTTCACATTTACGAGGCAGAACAGTTCTCCTAAAATGGTCTTAGAAATGCGAGCAGCAATGTCTTCAGTTGTCAATCGATTGATGACGATTTTGAAGCAACAATTCTTTGATTTGCACAACGTGTTGTTCATCAGTTGATGTTGATGTTCTTGGTTGACTTGGATGTGGTTCTCTTCCGCTTTCTCGACCCGCTTAGAACATTTTGTGCTATTCGTAAACTTGTGCTTTTCACATAGCCACCTTATCGAAAGCGTTTACACAAAATCGAACCGAACTTCTTAATTGAATAATGTTTCGGATATTTCGAGAAATGAAAAAATCACACAAGCCTACATACTCGCACGTAAGAAGAATGAAGAAAATGGAATGAAAACTCGACACCACATCGAAACACCCAATCGATTTGCGGGTCGTATTTGTGCACAGAGCTATGTCATATCACATAACGATCAGTTTTCGATCAGTTTAGGAGAAACACCACAAAAAGCTAAATTTGTTCAAATACAAGTAGGAAGTTGGTCAGTGGAGAAATTTTGAATGAACAAATTGCGGGGATTCACAGAGCATAGAAATAATACGCGTGCATATTATCATCTTATTTATAAATCAACTATAAATGCACTATGTAAAGGGTATATACGAGTATATATATAGTACATATGTATGTCTGTAACAACGGTTGCCTCAGCCTCGACGGATCTTCGAACAATTCCAACCATTGTCTATGGACTGTGACAAGCTTTTACAGACATTCATATGTACGAGTACACGTACATACCTACATCTCTATATGTACATATCTATGTGTTTATATAGGCGGGCATAGTGCTTAAAGTCAAAAACCGAACCGAACCGAACTGAACTGAACGATGCCAGCCAGCCAGCCAGCCAGCCAACAGTTGTCCAATTATGTTGTTGTTATTGTCGTTGTGAGCCCCGCAGAGTGAGAGTTTTCATCTGTATGCGTGCCTAGCATTTTGAAAGCCATTAGCGCAGCGCAGGTTGGCCAGCAAGCAGTCTTGGCCTAATGCTTTCAACAGTTAACCGCCTCATGCGCGTGACTGGTTGTCACACATTTCTATGTTGTAGCTACACTGCAAGAAAAGCCATAATAAAGCATCTTTGACGAACAAGCACAGCTCCAAATAAATGCTATGGGTTCAGCTGTTGAAGAGAATTTCAAAACAATAATGGAAATATGATTTGCGTGATATTACTTTTAATAGACTGCCAGCAGGACAGAAAAGTGCGAGCGTTCATATATGCTTAAAACTTTGTCCATAGCTGTTTCATAACAAATGGCGCCCCATATTTAAGACTTTCTATCACAAAAAAAAAAACCCTTTTCAGTTTTTTTTTCTATTTTTAGAATCTTGTTTAAAAGCACAATTACTCTACTTATGATACTTATATAAATAGACATCTATTGGCAGAGCAATGGGTTTCTTAGGTCGGGCCAAGCAGTTTTCATGGAGCTTATGCAGTCCTTTTGCTTCCAATTCTAGAAACATCAGCTTGTTTTACTCGAAACTCGAATTGAAGTTGATTAGAATCAACTACTTCTTCCTCGTTGCATCATTCATAAGCGAGTCATACTTATTGTCACTCTTCTAAGCTTTAATGTAAAACTTAGGATCAGCAACATCTTCCTTAATTTTCCCAGTACACCCCATTTAAAAAGCAAGTCAAAAACAAACTTTCTGCACCAAGACGACTTCTACTCTACGATTTAAAGGCGTTCATACAGACAAACACCCAGAAAATGATGACTGTTTCGTTTCACCTATCGATTGGTTTACATGGGAGAATATTTCTAATTTTCGGCCAAATGTAAATCTATTAATTAACTTCTTTTATAATCAATTAATTACATTTGAAGTCACACATCGCTGATTTTGTTCAGTGTACACATATCTTTGTCGTATTATATGCTAAAGGGAGCTGGGTAGCTGATGGGCTAGCCCACCAAATGCTCGGGGCAAGCCCACAGAATTAGTTGGCTGCTTGACTGACTGACTAACTGACTGACTGGAAGATCAACAGGCGGATAAACGCACGCGAATACATTAACATATTATGTTCACTTGTGATGGTAGACCAGGTTCTGTTCCACAAGAACTACAGTGCTCCTTTTGTATAGTGGAAAGTATGAAGTACACATAGGTGTTACTGTTTTTCAAAAACAGACTCCCCTGATAAATAAACAGATCTACTTCTATATATATATACTTGTAAGTAGAATAGGTCTTCACATAAGCCCCATTAGCTGGCTAACGGCTTAGAGTTGACTATTTTGTTGACAACAACAAAATACTTGCGTTAGTCAGAAAGAAACATCTTTAAGTTATCTTAAGATAATAATTGTATATGTAAGTAGCCGAGCAGCTCATCAGGTTTAATTAAATATTAAAGAGCTCTATTTATGTATAATTAAAATGAGCTGCTTAAGAAGTTAGGCAGTTAATTGGCCTCAAATAAATCAACTTTTTGGTTGGTAAAATATCACAAAGCAACGCTACTTAATTGTTATTTTATTATTACATTAATATCTGAGATAAATATTTGCGATTAAATGTATCAGAAAGCCACTTTTTTATAATTCTTATTTATGACTAAAAGTTCATATCTAAATAGCTCGTTTTATTTGTCATATTCTGATTAAAATGATATATTTAGGCAAGTAAGCAGTTAATAGTTCTAAATTAATCACCAAGCAACTCTTTATGATTAATATTAATGTTAGTATTTTTAAGCAGTTAACCGGCGTTTACTAGTCATTAAGCAAATGTTATTTTATGTTTAAAAGATTATATATGAGGGCAGCTTATCCATCTTTAACACTTTTTAGTTGTTGTTAGCCATGCGCCTTAAATTGAGCCTTAATAAGTTGTGAGCTTTTATTTTAATGATTAACAAATATTTAAACAGTTTAGCAGTTAATCGGTCCTTTTCGGCCATTAGGAACTCTTTTTAATTTTTAATTTACTATGAAGCGTTTATATTTAAAAGCACTTATAAACCAAGCTAACGAGCATGTTCTTTAAGGAAGTTGATGAAACTAATGCGGCCCTCTCTTCTTCATATAGCCGCTCCTTAGAACTTAAGGGGGCACATTTTGGATAATTATAGTATATTATTCTGTAGTACCTTATCCATTTGTATAAAATTAATGCCTAGAAGGCATGGAATTGTATCAAAATTTTTCTGTTTTGTCGTTGAATTGTAATATCTTTTTGTAAAAAGCTTCACCATAGAAAAAAATGCTCATTATTTATAGCGCCTTATTTTCCTGGCAAAGAATTATAGTATAGGATTTTGATTTCCAAAATCGTCCTTAAAGGTTGCAATAGTTCTTTCAGTATTGGTTGTGCCCAGGAGTTGTTCTTATTTGAAAAAGTAACTTGAAAACTAAATTCAAATAAATAGGCGATATTTAAAAAAAAATTAATAATTTTTTGGGCTTGTTTGTTAGATTTTGTCCGACTGTTTGAGACACGCACGTATTTATTTTGGGCCATATGGTTAGAGGCCTACTCGCTCGTTCTAAATTCGTCATAGTAGATGTTGACTTTGGCTGT